AGTTGCCAATGGCTAGGGGGATATGGGGGTGGATTGGGGGAAGGAGATGAAGGGAAAAGGGGAGTGTCTGCAACTAGAACCAAGGTGGGGGGTGTGTGTGAAAATACACTAAAGCTGATGGTTGCACAACTTTATGGATATACTAAAAACCACTGAACTACACATTTAAAATAGGCAAACTGTATGGTATGTGACTTATATCTCAATAAAGCTGTCATTTAAAAAGCAGGGCTCTGGGGCCGGCCCGGTGGCGCACTGCTACAGTGCGCCGCTTGCGTGGCGGCGCTCCCGCCGAGGGTTCGGATCCCACATACGGACCGGCCGCTCACTGGCTGAGCGAGGTGCGGGCGCAACACGGAGGGTTGCGATCCGTATGTGGGATCCGAACCCTCAGTGGGAGCTCCGCCGTGCTCCCAAGCGGCGCACTGCAGCAGTGCGCCACCGGGCCGGCCCTAATCTATTTCATTTTTCAAAACAATTTTTTTTAACCTTCAAAAGGACACATAGGAAATTTTCCTATTGCTGAGTCTGTCAGCCTAACTAAATCTTAAAAGAGTACATGATCCACAAGAAAGGAAAGGGAGATACACCCTAAATGATCACAGCAGTTCAACAAATTTCAGACATCCGACAGGTCAAGCCCAAGGTTAAGTGAAAAATGGCTTAAAAAGCAAAGCAAGAACAAACATCCCAAGATTTTCATAAAGCTATTAGTGGGCCAAAAATAGAAACACAATCATATTCTGCCATGGAAGTTTATACAGTGCTAATATTCTACAACTCATGATAGTCAAGCTCAGCTTTATGGGCAACGTGCTAAAAAAAAACACTTAAAAAAACTAGTCTATTACATAGCGAACATCTTTTGAGATACTTCTGAAGACATTTCAACAAGGAAAAATGCTCAGGATATACTACTACATGAAAAATTAACTCATAAAGCTATATAAAGAATATCCTAATGATATGAAGTAAACACAAAAATACATCAAAATTTCAACAAGGGTTTTCTCTGGAGTGTGGAGTTACAGAAGACTTTTTTTCTTTTATATTTTTCTATTTCACAAGTTTTCCACAAGAATGCCTTATTTTTACAATCAGAAAAAAAAGCAAATCCTAAACACTCGGTTTCATATTATCAAATATGTGATATACAATAGACATGTATTAATTATCATCAACTGGTAAAGCCCAGTTTTTATTTTTATTTATTTTTCACTATTTTATTTTATTAAAGCCCAGTTTTTAAATACTTGGATCAAGTCTATGACTGAGAAAAGAGCTGGCACTATCTTAATCACTCCGCAGTAGTTTTCCATACTAAGCTCCTCCCAAATGCATCAGATTCTACTCATTTCACTTCCTCCAAAATAAACTCAGCATTTATACTTTGAACAAAGTTCCCCAGGTAATTTCTGTTATATTCCAAACACCCATACAAACTTCTTTCAGAATCACTGATCTAAGTAAAAAGCTTTTACTGGATATTCCATGATACCCATACAAACTCGCTTCGATTTAAATAATCAGTCAAGAGCAATATGATAAGCAACAAGAATGTGGTAGCAGAGTTTCCACAGGGGATAAAGTGGTAGAAGTCTTTGGTTTTCAGTTCTAAGTAAAACTTTATCCAAGAAAATATACTGAAGGATTATGCACTATCCGAATAATACATCAGTATTTTTGTTTTACTTTAAATAATAGCATAAATTTATTTAAACATCCTAAAGGCACTTTGAAAATATTGCATCAGTATTTTTTTTACTAAAAAAGAAAAAAAGAAAAACATGATGCAATTCAAAGTGTCACTAAAAGTGTGCATAGTTGATCGGCAATTTGACAGGGTAAAAAAGAAAAATAATCAGGAATATGTTGTGGATTTACAATCAGCATTTGAAAATGAGATCAAGTTCTGCTGAAGTTTTTCCCCTAATGTGAAGAAATTCTGGCCAAATTTTGACTTGTACTTTCATTTAACACTAAAAATAAAAACCAAACCATAGCTACAAGGGTACTTCAAAAAGTTCATGGAAAGGTTAACATATCTTTTAATTCTATTTTTCCACAAACTTTTGGGAGTATCCTCATATTCTGCGAGGTAGCTTTACAAAACACCAACTCTTGAATCTCAGTTAAATTTAATTAGAATGTAACAGCTTTGAAAATAAAGACAACCAAAAAATTTTTTCTTTGAAGATTAAAAATAATTACTAGAAAATCCAAATCTGCTTTACACAAGTCTTTGAATAGGTCTAGATTTGGTAAGGAGGGGAGTATCACGGAATATTTCTGAGTCCCAGGGAGGCACTGTCAAACTAAATATGCTCCCACAGGATCAAGAAGCAAGTGATGAAACTCTTTACTGAACAAGTGTGTGAACAAAAGAGGAGGCTGGAAAAAAGGCCCAAAGTCACTCATTCAAACCGGGAGCTCCTTGAGTGATGAGATTGTGTCTTCTCTTTAGATTGCTGGTGCCTGGCACAGAGGAGGTCAATAAACACTTGCTAAATTAGAAGAGGAAAATATGTCTAGACTAGAATTCCCACGAAAAAAAAGAAGAAAAAAGATTGTCCAAAACAATGACCTAACATTGAAGTTGAAATCACAAAAACACTTAGGCTACTTTTCCCAGTGTCTTTTTTCCCAATAACCTTGAACAAACCACTAGTGAAATTTTAAGTATCTGTAATCATAAAAAGGTCTGTCTGACGTAGGTTCCATATCAAACATTTTAAAATGCATATATCTGTGTTTTAGGCCTATAATGTACACAAATATATGTAAAATAAAATATGAAGTTGAGATTCAAACACCAAATTTAAAAATATTTAAACTCACAAGTGAAGTTTAAAATGTATTAAAAATTGTGGTAGGCCTAAACTTCCCGCCGTGGCTTAGTCGGGAGAGTGTGGCGCTGGGAGCCCAGCTACGCTCCCGCCGCGGGTTCGGATCCTATATAGGGATGACCGGTGCGCTCAATAGCTGAGCACGGTGTGGGCGACACCAAGCCAAGGGTTGCGGATCCCCTTACCGGTCACAAAAACAAAAATTTAGAAGAGGAAAATATGTCTAGACTAGAATTCCTACCAGAAAAAAAAAAAAAAAAAAAGATTGTCCAAAACCAGAACCAAACATTTAATTTGAAATCACAAAAACACTTGGGCTACTTTTCCCAGTGTCTTTTTTCCCAATAACTCTGAACAAACCACTAGTGAAGTTTTAAGTATCTGTAATCATAAAAAGGTGTGTCTGACTTAGGTTCCAGATCAAACATTTTAAAACACATAAATCTGTGTTTTACGCCTATAAAGTATACAAATATATGTAAAATAAAATATGAAGTTGAGATACAAACACCAGATTTAAAAATATTTAAATTCGCAAGCAAAGTTTAAAATGTATTAAAAATAGTGGTAGGCCTAAACTTTCCCAAATGTGAACAAGATATAAAAATTTAAAAATAACTATATTTCCCTCACAGGACAACATACAATTACAAAATATAACTTTTTTCAAAGCGAATTTCTCACAGACTCAGCAAGATGTTCACATCTGTTAAAGATACAAAGTCATAAGTAGTGAACACTGACTGCAGGCAGCAGGGGGCCTCGCAGGTACATATAACTTGATAGTAAAGGAAAAGGTAAATAAGAGTTCCTGGTAAAACTTTTGCTTCCTATTCAGTTTTATGTCTGCTGGAAAGCTTTCACATCTGGAACAAATATACCATATTTAGTTACACAATGGGTACACACAGAAATGATGTTTCAGATACCGACACACTAGTTGAAAAAAGGAACTAGTCCCACAACGACCACCATCAAATCATACAACCTTCTTTGATGATTTTCCAAAAATATAAGTACACACTGTTTCACTGTGAAAAACAATTTTTTGTCAGATAATTTGGAAGAAAATAACAGCAGTACATGTGCAATCCTTCGATGGCATCTGACGAAGAGGACTCGAAATTGTTTAAAATGGCTTAAAATTCTTTTCTACACACTCACAAAACAATTAATGATGACGCAAATTTTAGGGTAAAAGGACTCTTCGGCAGAAGAACGCGTTTAACTTTGAATGATACCCTACAGTGAATCAATATATTTAACTCCTGGCCTGTCCACCTTTTCCTTCTCAATCCCTCCCCACCTTATCCTCCCACCAACATAAAACTACTCAGTTAAAAACATGAGAATACGGTAACTTCAAATGCTGCGAAGACTTGTAAATATCTTTTAAACACGAAACCCTTTAGAACCCTTACTAAGTTTGTACAGAAATTAAACTCTGCTCAAATCTAAAATTTTCAAACCCAAAAGCCCATCCCTTCGGCAAATGTATCTATACATTTCTTATTTCTCACGTGCATCTTCAATCCGATCAAAGATTTTCTTTTATACTTTTTTTCCAGCAAGTAATAGATACGAAGTAAACTCCAGCTAATTTTACCCTTTAAGAGCCTGTTCTACAGCGTCGTATGAAAATGCAGAACAAATGCAACAGTCCTACTAAGGAGAAATTTTTTTATAAAATTCACTCCGGAACAAAAATCGCAGGCAGCCAAAGGCAACGCACAAAGAGAACAGAGAAGAAACACATTCCAGGGACATACACTAACGCCCAGCGGCAGGCATCCTCGCACCGCCCTCCCTGGAAGGGTCAGCAGAGGCGAGCGCGGAGGCGAAGGGAGCCCGGCGGCCTCTCTGAAGGGCTGCCTCCCGCAGAGGAGCTCCTCACACACCCGGGTCGGCGCGCCTCGGTCCCCGAAGGCCCGCGGGGACGGCCCCTTCTCGCCCGGCCTGCCCTGCCCGCGCTCCCGGAGGCCGCTCCCCCCGCGCAGACGAGCCTCTTTGCCCTTCTTCGGCTGGTCCGCCCCGCCGCCGTCGCCGCATTTGCCTCGGGGTGGGGAAGGGGGTCCCCTTGGGGTCCGGCGGCGGAGGGGACGAGAGGAATGGAGGAGGCGCCCTCCCCCCAGCCGGCCTGCGCCCCACGCTCACCCTCCAGCAGACGGGTGATGAGGCTGTCCACGTTCAGCTCCCCGTCCGCCATCTTGTCGGCACCAGACTTCTCCTTCCCGGCAGCGGGAACAAGGGCTTCTCGGCGGCGGAGGCTGCGGCGACGGCTCGGCGTTGTCTCACCTACAAGTCACGCGGCGTTTCGACCCCAGCTCCAACTCCCCCTTTCCCGGGCCCTCCCCCCACCCCCTCCCCGCCGAGCAGCGAGAGCGCGCGCACACTCGGAGGAACCCACGATAAATAAATAAATAAACCAGCGGGGCCCCCAGCAAACCCGGCCGCGTCAGACCCAGGCCGCCACCTCCCCCTCCTCGGCACCGCCCAGCTCCGCAAAGCTCACCAGCGCCGCCGACAGCCCCACCCGCAGCGCCACTCACTCGGCACAGCCCAGGCCCGCCGCCGCTCCACGCAGCCCTCCGCGCAGGCGCACCGCGCGCTCCCTTCCGGCTCCCCTCGCCAGCTGAGTCTCGCGCAATCGCACTGGACTCGGTTCTCCCGCCGCCGCTGCCGCCGCCTTCGCGCCGGTGTGTCGTCCTCGCTCTCCACGTCCACTGCGCCGAATCGCCGCGGCGGCGCGCGCACGCGCGCTGGCGGGTCCCGGACTTTGCCGCGCCGAGGAAGCTCCCGTTACGTAGAGCGTGCGTAGGCAGGGCTGCCTGTTCTGTTTTCCCCGCTCCCCTGGCCTCGGCCGTAGTAGTTGTGCCGTTCTCGCTTCGCTTTGCTTTTCTTGTCTAAACTCCCTAGTTTTGCAAGCAATTCCTTACGTTGCCGTGCACGGGGAAACGCGGAGTACAGTTAGCCGTGTTTGAAACCCGGGTTTGTGCGTGCGGGAAGCCAGAAGAGGGTTACTCTGCTGAAAAAGTTTGACATTGCAGATAAGGGGTTTCATACCCTACCGTTCCACGAGGCTAGTTCTCCAGGGGTCCTCGGATGAAACAAGTGTTAAAGTGGGCCTGGAAGAAGCAGCAGTAACAATTTTGCATGGGTACCGCTCTCTGCCTTCGAAACGCGGAGTACAGTTAGCCGTGTTTGAAACCCGGGTTTGTGCGTGCGGGAAGCCAGAAGGGGGTTACTCTGCTGAAAAAGTTTGACATTGCAGATAAGGGGTTTCATACCCTACCGTTCCACGAGGCTAGTTCTCCAGGGGTCCTCTGATGAAACAAGTGTTAAAGTGGGCCTGGAAGAAGCAGCAGTAACAATTTTACATGGGTACCGCTCTCTGCCTTATATCTAGCCCTCTCTCATATCTGCCATCGCCATCCACCCTGTTGGTACTATTTCGCTACAGTGCTTTTGTGTTTATACCTCCATTATATTGCTTAATCATCCTGCCTTATAATTGTTTATGCGTTCATCTCCCACACTTGACTCAGCTCCTACAGGATAAAAACATTTATCTCTGTGGCCGCAGCACCCACCAAGTATCTGACACATAGAAGAGAGGGAGAAAGAGAACACGGAAGCTTGGAAAGGTTGGGGCCTGGCTGTTTTTTCCACCATGCAGTACTGCTTCCAGACAGGCAGGAGGAAGAGTAGCCACCTTTCTCAAAGGTTCCAGCTGGAGTTAGTGGCCTGTTTTAGGGGGTGGTCAGACCAAAGGCCTTTCCTTACTCCACAGGTGTTTTTCCCAACACGCAGGCATGATGCCGCCCGAAGCCCAAAGCAGTGCTTCCCCCACTCACATGTCACTAAGAACAGCTAACGTTTATTGAGATCCCTTTGTGTGCTCTGGCACCGTTTTAAATGTTACATGCGTGATGCCTCATTTAATCCTCACAGCAGTCCTATGAGGTAGCCCTACTTTGTAGATGGGATTAATTGGGGGCACAGAATGATTACATGCTAGCTTCAAATCACACAAGTAACTAAGTAGCAGACCTGAGACTCAAATCTAGGCATGTAGTGCCAGAGTCTCACTCTTAACAATTGTGATTTTACTCCCTCTCAGTTAGTGTGAACTGGCATACTTATACATGCATGTGCTGTGTTAAACTTGGAGAGTAGGTTTTCGGGAAAAACATAGTTGAACCAAGTGCTTTAAAATGTCCGGAGAACTTATAGAGCTAGGATTTTCTAAGGGTTTTCTCCCTAGTTTTCTCTCGGTTTCAGGAGTTAGCTTGTGCATTGATGGTAAACACAGAACAAGTAACAAGCTATAATGGTGGTCCTGCCTGGAGTAGTTTTCACAGATTCTGTGGTAATCTGTAAAGATGGACTGGCAGTAATCAGTAGTTCTCACAGATCACTGCAAATTTATTTGGAGTCTTCCGGGGTGAAGAAATGGCTCATCATCACTCCCTCTTGTTTTGTTAAAGTACAGTTATTTATACTCTCTTTTATTCTAGAAGAAAGAATTTAATGTAATTTACATAAATGCATGCAGGAGGGTAAATTAAAAATAATACAGAGAAAAATTGGAAGAAAGAAAACTGCGAGTGGGAAAGATAAGATTAAGCCAGCAGTTTTGTATGCAAAATGCATGGTGTGAGGTCCTACTGGTTTGCTAGAGATGGGCCACAAATAATGATTCTCAGCTTTCTTAGCAACCAACCAAGGAAAAGATCGGTTGCAAGTGGAGTAGGTGTTTTGGCTGAGCTGGAACTGGGACTTGAATAGAGCAGCTTGTGGAGTTGTATGCCAGTTCCCCAAATTTCTTTCTTGAGCCTCTTTAAGAGTAACAGAGTGCTTGGGAATACTAAAACAGGTGTCTGCTTATACTCATGCTTGTACTGCTTATACTGCTTATACCCGTGAACCCCATGAAAAAGAACTTTGAACCCTGTTCACAGTTAAAGCTCACATCTATGCAGACATGTTTAAAGGATAACATCTAAAGCAGACTGGATTGCACAGAGAGAAAGAGAGCATTGGAGGAAAAATCACCATGAGTGAGGCAGACAGAGGCCACTCTCAGCAGAGTTCTGGGGGTCAGAAGAGATAGGAAAGTAGTTCTGAGTATGGCCCCTTCTCCATCCCCACCAGGTGTTCTCATGCCTTGGAATCTTGGGAAAGAATGGGCCATTTTAAAAATGAAAGAGCTTTATCACTGGAGCCCCAGACAAATTTTCTGTGGTATCTCCCTCCAAAAGAGTTGTATAAAAATTCAGGATTCTTCATATTTTGAAGTCAAATTGATACGCATACTGTATGTTACTCCACACCCCAACAGCTTCAAGTAAAGCTCACCATAATCCAAAACATTACTTTCTTTTCAAAGAAAATCCTATGACTGTGCACACCATAAAAAATAAAGCCTACGATAATGTCATATCAGTTCAGATCAGATTTGCCATTAAAGTAGCCCATTCTCCGCTTTTGGAAAGTAAAATTGTCTACTGAAAGAAATTGGGAAAATGAAGAAAAACATAAAAATCATCTATAATTTCACCAGCCATAATAACCACTTTCTTATCTTATTTCTGAATAGTGTTTGTTAAACATTTATCAGTACCTCATTAGGCTTAGGGAGACATCTGAGTCACACATGTCAAAATCCTTGGGTAATTCCAGAAATGACTGTGAAGGGAAACCCTTGATTTTTATTTAGATTTCCTAATTGCAGGGACTTGGGGCATCATGATTTGGGGTCTTAATAAAATTGTGGTCTTATTTTTGCTTATTAACAGGTAATACTTGGGACACACTAATGCCCATTAGATAAAGGCAGACCAGTGCTCAGAGGAAACCAACCATAATAACTGTATTGAGACCAAAGAGAAGTCCCTTTGGACTGTCCTCAGAGAAGGCACTTTGGAACACAGCCAACAGCAGCAGCCTTGTGACTCCTTATGGTAAACACAACAAAGACTTTCATGGGGATGTTTTTCTTATACTGTTAATATTACCCAATAGCCAATATGATGTGAAAGTGCGTAGGCTTAGGTAGCAAAATGGAGAGGTTGTGATATTTAGCCCTTTGCTCCTCTGTCTTAATCCAAGATGGCTCTTAAATGAATGAATCAACATTCATTGGGCTGTCCTTTCATAAATACAATTCTTCTCAGACAAGTCTTTAATAAGTCTTGAGTGGCAGTAAGTTTAAATTCTACTAGGTATACCTGGAGGGTGGCCATTCTTTATATCAAATGTCATAGACTTTTATAGTCAGCTCAATTCAAGAAAATTGAAAAACCAGACAAGGACATATGCATCAGTAGGAAGCCACCTCTCTCAATAAAGAGCCAGGCTTAGGTGGTATACCTGGGCAGTGCCAAGATTTTTCCTTAAATTTTAGTTTTGGTTTCATTTAAGTACACATATGGAAGAATAGTCAAGGTGCCAAAATTATCAGCTAAGCCATATGGCATGTCCTCAGTCATTTTAGCCCTCCAAATTATAAAGCCAGTATAACCAAATACTTCCCTTGGCCAACAACCTCTCCTGCAGCCCCAACCGCAACACACACATGCAAATTCTTAGTGGAGCATTTTCTCTTTAACTCTCTAGTTTATCCTTCAAGGTAAACCGATTGCAAAATAAATGCCTAGTAATCGAACAAGTTACATGGCTATGTAGAACTGTTAACTATAAGGGAATTAAAGTTGGATGAACAGATACCACAAATGATGACTATTTAAGTGTTGAAAGTTTGATCCTGGCCTGCCTTTCTTACTTGTAATTAGATTACAGAGAAAGTTTTCCATTTAGGTCAGTCCTGGTTTGTTACAATAAAACCATGTGATCTACTTGTATAAGAATGTTTCTTTTTCAATGTTATCCCATCCTACTCATTCAGACAAGATACCAGGAAACAAACTATGGTTTGTTGGTGAAGAAAAGTATACAAATTGTGAAAGTTTCAAATAAAAAAATCTAAATGCCTCTAATGATAGTTGCTCTCTTCTCATATACTTTGTCCAAATTATGTATGATTCGCCTTTTCATTTGGAGGTTTACTTCTGAATGTTTTCATAAGTCTCTATTTCAATTGATGTTGGTAATAAGACAAAGAAAGCATTAAATTTAATAATGTAGTTATAAAACAAGTAGCTCCCCTCTCAGAACACATTAAAATTAATAGCGTGTATCTCCTAAAACTAAAACAAAATGTATCTATGAGCTATGAAAAATATTCACTGGGGTTACATCCAACACCAATAGATCCTTTTATATAGAAAACACTGCTCAATAGAATACTTATGAGTTATTATTTAAATATTGATTTTAACCAGATCCTATTATAAATAAATTCTTAATTGAAATGCCCCATGGTACATGTTATTTAAGGAAATCTTACAGTGAATAGACCTCTAAAGCAAAGCGAATAACAAGCCAATTAAGTATTTACAAAACACTTCATGCGTTTGAGTCTGTGCTAAAGAAGGAATGACTTCCCAA